TAGAAAAAAAGAGGGGAAAAATTCAAAACTAAGAGATTTAATTTTACCCATTTCAAATTTAAAATATCACGGTTTAATATTTCAAATTTTTTAAGATTTAAAATTTCAAATCTTAGATTTTTTTTAAATTTTATTTATAAATTAATTAAATAAAATATATTAAGGTCACAATTTCATGTAATTTGATCACAAATTTCATATATTTTGTCACAAATTATTAATTGGTCATAAATCACAATTTTCATATGTCACAAATAATTTTACAATCACAATTCAAAAAATTTATAAGTCACAATTTGTTAATCGGTCACAAATCGAAAATTTTATGCATCACAATTTATTCATCGGTCACAAATTTATCAAATTAATAAATCATATATTATTCATTGGTCACAAATCACAAATTTTATATGTCAGAAATTATTTTAACGTCACAATTCAAAAAAAGTTATATGTCACAATTTGTTCATCGAATTAATTAATTAATTATATATTTTATTAATTAAATATATTAAGATTACAGATCTACATAATTTGATCACAAATTAATGATTTAATTAATCATATATTATATTTCGGTCACAAATTAAAAAATTTGTATGTCGCAAATTATTGTACTATCATAATTCAGAAATTTTATAGGTTATAATTTGTTCGTAGGTCACAATTCATCGAATTAATTAATTAATTATATATTTTATTAATTAAATATATTAAGATCACGAATCTATATAATTTGGTCACAAATTAACGATTTAATTAATCATATATTATATTTCGAACACAAATCAAAAAAATTATATGTCACAAATTATTGTACTATCATAATTCAGAAATTTTATAGGTCACAATTTGTTCGTCGGTCTCAAATAAAAAATTTATATGTCACAATTTATTTATCGGTCACAAATATTTTAAGTTACAACTTAGTACACAGTCACAAATTGTCAAATTATCGATCACAAATTAAATTTTTTTTAGGTTACATATTATTTCTTGGTCACATATTATTTATTAGTCACAGATTAACCAATTTAATTGTCACAATCAACCAAATAACTTGTGACCACAACCAACACTTGTGATCACCATCGCACCTAATTCCTCTAGTAGCAACATTGTCACCTTCGCCGCCAAAACCGCCACCTTCCGACAGCAACACCACTACCTCAAACAAATCGACACATAGCAAAAAAATCCATCACATCGTCACGCCGTTCCACCACCACCTCGATAGACCCATTGCCACCACCGCAGCCGCTACCAACAAAATCACATCCACTATTCATCCACAGTCACGGTAACAACCTTTGTCACCGAAAAATACCAACTGCTAATACCACCACCACAACCACCATCACACACTTCGACGTTGTCCCACCCCCACAATCGCCAATTCTAACCACAACTGCACCACCACCGCCTGCACTAGTAACCACTACCTACGCCTGCTAAAATTCATCATCTTTTCCACCTCTACCACACCACAGCCACCAACAAAATCCCCTAACCCACTACCGCCATCTGCACTTTTAATACACTACAAATCAACCTCCAACTCCGGCCACCACAAAATCAGAAAAAGAAAGAGAAACAAAAAACCTAATTTTTGCAATGGTCGCGACGATAGGCCCCATCGACTGGAAGAATTGATGATCTCCATCACCGGTCCCCAAACTCGTCACCCCCATCACCGCTCCTCTTTTTCACAAAGTCGGTCTCTTGAAGCGGCAGAGCTCCTCTTTCGACGGCACGACAGACTCGAAGTCCTCAGTGGCGCCGATCCTTTCCTTACAGCGTCGACGTTGGTCTCTTGTATTTGTGCCGATCTCGTAATCGGTGCCGCTCTTCCCTACAACGTCCAACATCACCGATGGAGATATATAGAAAAGACGGAATAGGTGGAGAGAGGACACCAGTTGCCATGTGAGAGAGAAAAAATAGGTATTAAGAGATGTAGAGTGAGAAATGAGAGTAATTAGGGTTTATGATGAATTTTGGTTGCATTAATAATATTGAATATTTGAATTAAAAATTAAAATATGATTTTTGTATAAACAAACTTTATATCTGATTTTTGAAATTGGATCTTAAAAATTCTGGTTTGATGTATTTACTACAAAAAATAATACCAAAAATTCGTCTTCTCTTTTCTTTGCGAGTGCAACAATGGCGAGTGGCGGCTGCTTCAAATTTGTAAATTCTGATGGAGCCAGCACGGGTAGCCTCGCCACCTCACCGGGTGCGCGCTCCACCACTGATTGCCTGTGTTGCTAAAAATGTCTTCAATTATGTGAATATTAAGGAGATATGACATCTATAATTGTAACAATTAAAGGACATTTCATTCCAGCTGTTCTAAGGCCTTTAATGGTACTCATTTGACTCATTCAAGCAAACGCCTCAGCCATGTTTAAGTTATGCAAGTGGTTTAATTCTAATTACGCAGAACTTTTCCTTCTAGTTGTGCTAAACCTTGAGTTTGCAAACTCAGTTTTTCATGTCATGAATTTAGTGGTATAGTGTTTTGTAGTACTTTAGTTTTTGATACTAAAACTTGTCTTGAGTTTTTTTGGTTGTTGATGAGTGTATTTCACTCATACTCTAGATATCATCTAAACTTGATATTTAACTTATTTCTATGAGTTTTAGAACGTTTTAATATGTGTTTTGATGTTGTGATATAGGTTGATGAAATTGAACGAAATA